TTAATATTAACATTATTATGACAACAACAAAAAATCATATAAATTTTTAGGCTTGATCTCTTGGAGAAGAAAAGATTTCTTTGGAGAATGTTGTAAAAAAATGTATTCTGTAAAAGTTATGTTATTTGTGAATCTACCGTAGTTGGATTTACATAGAGTCTGTACTAACAAATACTTATAACAATAATGTAATGACCATTCAGGTCATTTTTAAATTAAAGCATTCATTCCATTGTTTAGAGCGTTCCTGTAGCGACCCCAGGTCATTTATGACTTGCTGGCACTGACTGTTCGATCGCCTGGTCGTTCGTTTGTGTTTTAGGCCCGTTTCCCTGTTTTTGAGATTTTATAACTTGAAAAGTTGACTTTGATCAACCTTCTTGGGAGACGTGCTCAGATGAAAATTCTGACAGTTAGGTTAGCTTTGGAATATCGATTTTGGTGTAGAACGACCCTTTGTTCACTTCCAGAGGCTTTAGATGCCCGTTGTGGAATCTGGCTCATAGCGATACTGGGTGTGGGACCCACTTTTCATCGAAGCGATCTCCAATGGAAATTCCCATTTCACCGTTGAGTCCGAAATATCATTTCCAATCAGATTCCATATATGGTTTGTGTTTTTACGATTCCGAACGAGTCCGGAACATCGAAATTTAAGTTTGAATAGTTGTTGAATACTAACGCGGTGGTGACGTGGCTGAGCCACGCGACGCCAGGTGGCAGCGTTGTTGAAAATTTCCAGATTTAAGGACAATTTTTGTCCATTTTTTCCCCTCATCTTGAAACATAGATATCTCCTCCATTTTAAGCTCAAATTAGGTGATTCAAAAGGCTAATTGCAAGAGAATTTTGTGCGGAATCTAGAGGTGTGCTCAGAAATGCAAGGGGAGCCTTCGTTTGAGGTAAGGAATCGAATTTAGCTACAGCTAGAGTGATTTTTCGGAATGAATTGTTGTTGAACTTTGAAAGGTTAGATCTTGATCATCTTAGGTCCGTTTTGAGTCATTCTTGAGGCTAACTTGTAGAATTTTTCGCAAGGATCGTCGTGGTATAATATTTTTGGGCTGGAAGGGTCTCATTTTTCCAGAAATTGGTGATCAAGGGGCTGCCAAGTCGTAAGTCAAGACTTATTAATGATTTTAATTGTTGGGGATGATTTACTATGTTTTAGGCATATTTTTGTGCTAAATTTTGGGGTATTAGTTTAGTAAGGTATTTGGGACGTTTTCACGGATACATTTTCGGGATTCCAATTCCAGCAGGCCCCAGCTCCAGCCGTTCCAGTACCGCAGGGCCAGCCTACACCAGCGGTACCGGTTGTTCAGCAGCTAGCGGCACCGGTTGTTCAGCCTGACGATTTGGAGGGCGTCATGCCACTACGGGAGCAGAAGATGCTCGGGGTGTTCCTTAGACTATCACCGCCGAGGTTTTCTGGGGCTGTGGGTGAGGATGCCCACGCGTTTCTACTTACTTGCCGCGAGCGGCTACAGACTTTGGGTTTAGTGGAGTCGAGAGGGGCAGACTTCACCGCTTACCAGTTAGACGGTCCCGCCAGGCAGTGGTGGCGTACATACTTAGAGACCAGGCCAGCTGGGTCTCCACCGGTCATATGGACTAAGTTTTCAGAGGCCTTATTTGCCCGATTTATTCCCTGGAGCATCATAGATCAGCTCAGAGATCATTTTGCTCGGTTCGAGCAGGGCTCAATGACAGTATCAGAGTATGAGGCCCGATTCCACGAACACTCCAGGTATGCCGCCATGATATTAGCTACTGAGGAGGACAGGGTTCGTTGTTTTGTTCGGGGTTTGAGACTACAATTGCGGATTGAGACTCAGTCTTTATTCTCAGCGGGCCACTCATTTCTGGATGTAGTGGACCATGTCCGCACTATTGAGCATCTCCGTTGCGAGGCCCAAGAGGGCAGCGACAAGAGGGCTAGACAGGAGGATAGTCATGATAGGCGCCGTTTCAGACCCCGAGAGTCTTATGAAGATCTCAGTAGAGGTTTCAGTCGGGTCAGTCATTTATTCCCAGGAGCATCAGAGATAAGCTCAGAGATCAGTTTGCTCGGTTAGAGCAGGGCTCCATGACAGTATCAGAGTATGAGGCCCGATTCCACGAACACTCCAGGTATGCCGCCATGATATTAGCTACTGAGGAGGAGAGGGTTCGTTGTTTTGTTCGGGGTTTGAGACTACAGTTGCGGATTGAGACTCAGTCTTTAGTCTCAGCGGGCCGCTCATTTCTGGATGTTGTGGACCATGTCCGCACTATTGAGCATCTCTGTTGCGAGGCCCAAGGGGGCAGCGACAAGAGAGCTAGACAGGAGGATAGTCATGATAGGCGCCGTTTCAGACCCCGAGAGTCTTATGATAGATCTCAGCAGAGGTTTCAGTCGGGTCAGTCTAGTAGCCTCTTCCAGGTTTCTCTCCAGGCATCGGAGGGTGATCGGCACCGCCCTATTGGTTTTATTGCCGGTCCTAATCGGGGGTGTGATAGTTCTCAGATGGGCTCTTCTGGCCGGGGTAGCCGACCTCCAGCTCTCAGTCGACAATCCCAAGGTGATATGAGTGTGGGGAGTCAGATCATTGGGCCCGCGAGTGTCCCCATCGCAGGTTAGCCTTACCCGCTCCACAGGCAGCTGGCATACGCCAGCGCCAGCACCTCCAGCTAGAGGCGGAGGCCAGGGACAGGACCGCAGGGGTGGCCACCAGGGTATACGGGGTGGTCCGCGAGGAGGCAGGTTAGGGGGCAGAGCCGATTCACAGGGTAGTGGAGCACAGGCCCACTTTTATGCAGCTTCAGCTAGAGCAGATGCTAAGACCTCGGACGATGTTATCACAGGTACAGTGTTATTATGCCATCAACCCGCATCCACGTTATTTGATCCAGGCTCTACTTATTCTTCTATATCTGTTTATTGTGCTCTTCGATTGAGTATGAGCCCAGAGCTATTGGTTGAGCTGTTGCGTGTTTCGACCCCGGTAGGTGAGTCTTTAGTAGTGGATTAGGTATTTAGATATTGTGTGGTGACTATTCAGAGGCGAGTGTTGATCTCATTTTGCTTGACATGGTGGATTTCGATTTCATTTTGGGTATGGATTGGTTATCCCCCCATCGTGCGGTCTAGGATTGCTATGCCAAGACCGTACTTTAGCCGTGCCTAGTATTCCACCAGTGGTGTGGCGGGGCTCTTGTAGTCACACGCCAGTTGCGGTGATATCTTTTGTTCGGGCCCAGAGGTTGATGGCTAGCTGGTGTTTGGCTTATTTAGCTTATGTTAGAGATGTTATTAGGGAGGGTCCTACCGTTGATTCAGTACCTATTTTTCGAGAGTTTACAGATGTGTTTCCTCCCGATCTGCCTGGTCTCCCTCCTGATCGTGACATTGACTTTCCTATTGAAGTAGAGCCGGGCACTAAGCCCATTTCTATACCACCGTAATGTATGGCCTCCGTAGAGCTCAAGGAGCTCAGTGTTTATCACTAGTTGAGGATTAGGGCAGCGGACGTCCCTAAATCTACATTTAGGAATAGTTACGGCCACTATGAGTTCCTAGTGATGTCTTTTGGGTTGACGAACGCCACTGCCGCGTTCATGGACTTGATGACTAGGGTGTTTAGGCCGTACTTGGATTCGTTTGTCATAGTCTTCATAGATGACATTGTAGTATACTCGCGGAGCTGGGAGGAGCATGAGCAGCATTTGAGGATAGTGCTCCAGACTTTGAGAGTCCAGCGACTTTATGCCAAGTTCTCAAAGTGCGAGTTTTGGCTTGAGTCCGAGGCATTCTTGGGGCACGCAGTGTCTAAGGATGACATTAGGGTAGTTCCCGCTAAGATTGAGCCTATTCGTGATTGGGCCAGACCAACATCTATGACTGAGATTCGTAGCTTCGTCGGATTGGCAGGCTACTACAGGCTATTTGTTGAGGGATTTTCTACTATAGCAGCGCCTTTGATTCGGTTGACTCGCCAGGATGTTTCGTTTGTGTGGTCGGAGGAGTGTGAGAGGAGATTTCTGAGGCATAAGTAGTTGCATACCACCGCTCATATATTGACTCTTCCAGTTGAGGGCAAGTGGTTTACTGTTTATTGTGATGCATCCGGCATTGGTTTGGGTTGTGTACTGATGCAGCAGGGCCGCGTTATTGCCTTTGCGTCGAGGCAGCTTAAGCCGCACGAGCGCAACTACCCCACTCATGACTTAGAGTTGGCGGCGGTAGTTTTTGCGCTTAAGATTTGGAGGCATTACCTGTATGGAGTTTGATGCGAGATCTGTACTGATCACAGGAGCCTTCAGTACATTATGAGCCAGAGGGATCTTAATTCGAGACAGCGCCGTTGGATAAAGCTCCTGAAGGACTATGACCTCTCTATTCTCTACCATCTAGGCAAGGCGAATGAATGTACTAGCGGACGCCTTGAGTCGGAAGGCAGTGAGTATGGGTAGTCTAGCCTTTCTTTCTACTATGTAGCGACCATTAGCTTTGGACATCCAGTCCTTACCTAACTGGATGATACTAGCTTATGTGGATGCTCAGTCATCTCTGCTGGATCGGATTCGCAGCCGTCAGTTTGAGGATGAGGACTTAGTGGGACTTCGAGATCGAGTTTTGGGAGGTGACACCGGAATGGCTACCTTAGATTTAGATGGGGTTTTAAGATTTGGTGATCGACTTTGTGTTCCAAGAGTTAGGGGTTTGATTCAGATGATTCTTACCGAGGCCCATGAGTCCAAATATTCAATTCATCCGGACACAGCTAAGATGTATCGAGACTTGAAACAGCACTACTGGTGGAGCGGCATGAGGAGATATATTGCGAATTATGTATCACGTTGCTTGATTCCCGGTGTGTACTAGCTTATGTGGATGCTCAGTCATCTCTGCTGGATCGCATTCGTAGCCGTCAGTTTGAGGATGAGGACGTAGTAGCACTTCGAGATCGAGTTTTGAGAGGTGACACCGGCCTAGCTACCTTAGATTTAGATGGGGTTTTACGATTTGGTGATCGACTTTGTGTTCCAAGAGTTGGGGGTTTGATTCAGATGATTCTTACCGAGGCCCATGAGTCCAAATATTCTATTCATCCGGGCACAACTAAGATGTATCGGGACTTGAGACAGCAATACTGGTAGAGCGGCATGAGGAGAGATATTGCGGATTATGTATCGCGTTGCTTGAGTTGTCAGCAGGTTAAGGCCGAGCATTTTAGGACTGTTGACGAGCTTCAGAGATTCCCCATTCCTGAGTGGAAATGGGAGAGGATCACCATGGACTTCGTTGTAGGATTACCCCGCACTTCACATGGTCTTGATAGTATTTGGGTCATCCTGGATCGATTGACCAAGTCAGCACACTTTATTCCTGGCCATACTTCCTACAGTGCTGAGAGGTTAGCCCGTATCTACATTCGAGAGGTGGTTCGTCTTCATGGTGTGCCTGTTTCCATCATCTCAGACCGGGGCCCACAGTTCACATCTAGCTTCTGGAGGACCTTCCAGGATGAGTTGGGTACCCGTGTTGACCTTAGTACAGCTTTCCACCCGCAGACTGATGGTCAGTCGGAGCGCACGATTCAGGTTCTTGAGGACATGTTGCGGGCTTGTGTTATGGATTTTGGGGGTCAATGGGACCAGTATTTGCTTTTGGCAGAGTTTACGTACAACAACAGCTAACACTCGAGTATTCAGATAGCCCCATTCGAGGCCTTATATGGTAGGCATTGTCGCTCTCCAGTTGGTTGGTTAGAGTCTACAGAGCCCAGGCCGCACGGTACAGACTTGATGCGAGAGGCTTTAGATCATGTGAGGGTGATTCAAGATAAGCTCAGGACAGCCCAGAGTAGACATCAGAGTTATGCAGACCGTAGGCGTCGATTGTTGAAATTTGTTGTTGGTGATAGAGTATTCCTCCGTGTGTCGCCCATGAAGGGTGTAATAAGATTTGGGACGCGGGGCAAACTTAGCCCCAGTTATATAGGTCCTTTTGAGATATTGAGGACAGTTGGAGAGGTCACATATGAGTTCGCTTTGCCCCCGACCTTTACTGCTATTCACCCAGTTTTTCATGTTTCGATGTTGCGCCGGTATGTTACAGATTAGTCCCATGTGATTCAGTATGATGAAGTTGACTTGGATGACAGTTTGAGATACATTGAGGAGCCAGTTGCAATTTTGGCCAGAGATGTCAAACGGTTGCGTTCCAGAGCCATTCTTGTGATTAAGGTCCATTGGAGGCATCGTCCAGTTGAGGAGGCTACGTGGGAGACCGAACATGAGATGCGGGCGCAGTTCCACGGCTTATTTGAGCCTTCAGGTACTTCTTGACTCTTACTTTCGCGGACGAAAGTTCTTTTAGTAGTGGATATTGTAATGACCCTCCAGGTCATTTTTAAATTAAACGATTCATTCCATCGTTTAGAGCGTTCCTGTAGCGACCCCACGTCATTTATGACTTGCTGGCACTGACTGTTGGATCGCCTGGTCGTTCGTTTGGGTTTTAGGCCCGTTTCCCTGTTTTGGAGATTTTATAACTTGAAAAGTTGACTTTGGTCAACCTTCTTGGAAGACGTGCTCAAATGAAAATTCTGACAGCTAGGTTAGCTTCGAAATATCAATTTTGGTCTAGAACGACCCTTTGTTCACTTTCCGAGGCTTTAGATGCCCGTTGTGTAATCTGGCTCAAAACGATACTGGGTGTGGGACCCACTTTTCATCAAAGCGATCTCCAATGGAAATTCCCACTTCACCGTTGAGTCTGAAATATCATTTCCAATCAGATTCCACATATGGTTTGTGTTTTCACGATTCAGATCGAGTCCGGACCATCGAAATTTAAGTTTGAACAGTTGTTGAATAATAACGCGGTGGTGACGTGGCAGAGCCACGCGACGCCAGGTGTCAGCGTTGTTGAAAATTTCAAGATCTAAGGACAATTTTCGTCCATTTTTTCCCCTCATCTTCAAACATAGATATCTCCTCCATTTTAAGCTCAAATTAGGTGATTCAACAGGCTAATTTCAAGCGAATTTCGTGCAGAATCTAGATTTGAGCTCAGAAACGCGAGGGGAGCCTTCGTTTGAGGTGAGGAATCGAATTTAGCTACTGCTAGAGTGATTTTTCGGAATGAATTGTTGTTGAACTTTGAAAGGTTAGATCTTGATCATCTTAGGTCCGTTTTGAGTCATTCTGGAGGCTAACTTGTAGAATTTTTCGCAAGGATCGTCGTGGTATAATATTTTTGGGTTGGAAGGGTCTCGTTTTTCCAGAAATTGGTGATCAAGGGGCTGCCAAGTCGTAAGTCAAGACTTATTAATGATTTTAATTGTTGGGGCTGATTTGCTATGTTTTAAGAATCTTTTTTGTGCTAAATTTTGGGGTATTAGTTTAGTAAGGTATTTGGGACGTTTTCACGGATTCGTTTTCGGGATTTCAATTGTGGGTCCCACAATCCCGATTTACACCCAATATCGGTCCGTCTCCGAAAAATATAATTTTGGTGTCGACATATTCGTAATGACAAGGTGATTAACCTTTTGATAGTGGGGAAGCATTTGGAGACCGTTCGGAGGGGAAAAGCTCCGGTACCGTGAGTTGGAGCACGCGTGATCGGCTTTCAGGTAGGCTATGGCTTCCCCCTCGTGAGATTGAGCATTTTTAGGCTAATTTTTTTATTGATTTGCTTGAGTATGGAGGGGTTCGGGTGTCGGGCATGCTAAATTTTTATAACTCCTGCCTTAGCCTTTATTTCGGGAAATTGTTGAATTATGACAGCATGACTCTTGATATTATTGAACATCCATACCTTGTGGTGTATATGATAATATTGATTTGAAGTATGTTTGACCTTAGTCTAGGCTTAGACTAGTGTTGCCATAGACTTGCGAGGTTTCGGATGCCGTTAGGTAGTAGAACTTTTTCCTACGTCGTTTAGGGCGGTCAGCTCCTTGTAGACTGATATAGCAGACATGAGTCTGAAATTCTGAGCCTTAGCTAGGCGGTAACTCAGCTTATGACCTTGTAGCCATAATGCCTTGTTTTTCTATCGGCTATAGTACCCGGTTAAAGTCCGTGGTCTAGCTTACTCACTATTGGATACTTCCTCGGCGATTTGGGGTATATGAAAGTTGGACTGAAATGATTATTTATGGTAATCGGTTTGGTGATAATTTCCCGCGACGTATGGTTGGATGTTGATTCTTAGCTACAGTACCCGGTTAGAGTCCGTGGTCCAGCTTACTTATGTCCAGGCTTAGCTACAGTACCCGGTTAGAGTCCGTGGTCCAGCTTACTTATGTCCAGGCTTAGCTACAGTACCCGGTTAGAGTCCGTGGTCCAGCTTACTTATGTCCAGGCTTAGCTACAGTACCCGGTTAGAGTCCGTGGTCCAGCTTACTTATGTCCAGGCTTAGCTACAGTACCCGGTTAGAGTCCGTGGTCCAGCTTACTTATGTCCAGGCTTAGCTACAGTACCCGGTTAGAGTCCGTGGTCCAGCTTACTTATGTCCAGGCTTAGCTACAGTACCCGGTTAGAGTCCGTGGTCCAGCTTACTTATGTCCAGGCTTAGCTACAGTACCCGGTTAGAGTCCGTGGTCCAGCTTACTTATGTCCAGGCTTAGCTACAGTACCCGGTTAGAGTCCGTGGTCCAGCCCACCCATGCCTGACCTTTGGCTACAGCACCTGTTTCGAGTCCGTGGTCCAGCCGATATAGGTTGACTCATTAGCTATAGTACCCGGTTCGAGTCCGTGGTCCAGCCCATATAGGTTGACTCATTAGCTATAGGACGATTTGGAGGGCGTCATGCCACTACGGGAGCAGAAGATGCTCGGGGTGTTCCTTAGACTATCACCTCCGAGGTTTTCTGGGGCAGTGGGGGAGGATGCCCACGAGTTTCTAGTTACTTGCCGCGAGCGGCTACAGACTTTGGGTTTTATGGAGTCGATAGGAGCAGACTTCACCGCTTACCAGCTAGACGGTCCCGCCAGGTAGTGGTGCCCTTCATACTTAGAGACCAGGCTAGCTGGGTCTCCACCGGTCACATGGACTGAGTTTTCAGAGGCCTTCTTGGCCCGATTTATTCCCAGGAGCATCAGAGATCATCTTAGAGATCAGTTTCCTCGGTTAGAGCAGGGCTCCATGACAGTATCAGAGTATGAGGCCCGATTCCACGATCTCTCGAAGTATGCCGCCATGATATTAGCTAGTGAGGAGGAGAGGGTTCGTTGTTTTGTTCGGTGTTTGAGACTACAATTGCGGATTGAGACTCAGTCTTTAGTCTCAGCGGGTCGCTCATTTCTGGATGTAGTGGACCATGTCAGCACTATTGAGCAGCTCCGTTGCGAGGCCCATGAGGGCAGCGACAAGAGGGCTAGACTGGAGGATAGTCATGATAGGCGCCGTTTCTGACCCCTAGAGTCTTATGAAAGATCTCAGCAGAGGTTTCAGTCGGGTCAGTCTAGTCGCCCCTTCTAGGCCTCTCTCCAGGCATCGGAGAGTGATCGGCACCGCCCTATTGCTTTTAGTTCCGGTCCTAGTCGGGGCCGAGATAGTTCTCAGATGGGCTCTTCTGGCCGTGGTAGCCGACCTCCAGCTATCAGTCGACAGTCCCAGGGGTGCTGTGAGTATGGGGAATTAGATCATTGGGCCCGCGACTGTCCCCATCGCAGGTTAGCCTTATCCGTTCCACAGGCAGCTAGGCATAGGCCAGCGCCAGCACCTCCAGCTAGAGGCGGAGGCCAGGGACAGGACCGCAAGGATGGTCACCAAGGTATAAGGGGTTGTCCCCGAGGAGGCAGGTTAGGGGGCAGAGCCGATGCACAGGGTAGTAGAGCACAGGCCCATTTTTATGCAGCTTCAGCTAGAGCAGATGCTGAGACCTCAGACGATGTTATCCTAGGCACAGTGTTATTATGCCATCAACCCGCATCCATCTTATTTGATCCAGGCTCTACTTATTCTTATATATTTGTTTATTAGGCTCGTCGATTGAGTATGAGCCCAGAGCTATTGGTTGAGCCGTTTCGTGTTTCACCCCCGGTAGGTGAGTCTTTAGTAGTGGATTAGGTATTTAGATCCTGTGTGGTGACTATTCAGAGGCGAGGGTTGATCTCATTTTGCTTGACATGGTGGATTTTGATTTGATTTTGGGTATGGATTGGTTATCCCCCCACCGTGCGGTCTTGGATTGCTATGCCAAGACCGTTACTTTTGCCGTGCCTAGTATTCCACCATTGGTGTGGCGGGGCACTTGTAGTCGCACGCCAGTTGGGGTGATATCGTTTTTTCGGTCCCAAAGGTTGATGGCTAGCTAGCGGGTGTTTGGCTTATTTAGCTTATGTTAGAGATGTTAGTAGGGAGGGTCCTACCGTTGATTCGGTACCTATTTTTCGAGAGTTTACAGATGTGTTTCCTCCCGATCTTCCTGGTCTCCCTCCTGATCGTGACATTGACTTTCCTATTGAAGTAGAGCCGGGCACTAAGCCCATTTCTATACCATCGTACCATGTGGCCCCCGTAGAGCTCAAGGAGCTCAGTGTTCAGATTCAGGATCTCTTAGATAAGGGGTTCATTCGGCCTAGTGTATCGCCTTGGGGTGCCCCAGTCCTCTTCGTGAAGAAGAAGGACAGTACACTGCGATTGTGCATCGACTACAAGCAGTTGAACAAGGTGACGGTGAAGAACCGTTACCCATGCCTAGGATTGATGATCTATTTGACCAACTTCAGGGTGGCCGTGGTATTTTCTAAGATTGATTTAAGATCCGGCTATCAGCAGTTGAGGATTAGGTCAGCGGACTTCCCTAAAACTACATTTAGGACTCGTTACAGCCACTATAAGTTCCTAGTGATGTCTTTTGGGTTGACTAACGCCACTGCCGTGTTCATGGACTTGATGACTAGGGTGTTTAGGCCGTACTTGGATTCGTTTGTCATAGTCTTCATAGATGACATTGTAGTATACTCGCGGAGCTGGGAGGAGCATGAGCAACATTTGAGGATAGTGCTCCAGACTTTGAGAGGCCAGCGACTTTATGCCAAGTTCTCAAAGTGCGAGTTTTGGCTTGAGTCCGTAGCATTCTTGGGGCACGTGGTGTCTAAGGATGGCATTATGGTAGATCCCGCTAAGGTTGAGGCCATTCGTGATTGGGCCAGGCCCACCTCTATGACTGAGATTCGTAGCTTCATCAGATTGGCAGGCTACTACAGGCATTTTATGAGAGATTTTCTACTATAGCAGCACCTTTGACTCGGTTGACTCGCCAGGATGTTCCGTTTTGTGAGAGGAGATTTCTGAGGCATAAGGAGTTGCTTACCACCGCTCATATATTGATTCTTCCATTTGAGGGAAAGGGGTTCACTGTTTATTGTGATGCCATCCGGGCATTGGTTGGGTTGTGTACTGATGCAGCAGGGCAGCTTAAGCCGCACGAGCGTACCTACCCCACTCATGACTTAGAGTTGGCGGCGGTAGTTTTTGCGCTTAAGATTTGGAGGCATTACCTGTATGGAGTTCGATGCAAGATCTATACTGATCTTGAGCTCCTGAAGGACTATGGAACCTCTCTATTCTCTACCATCTAGGCAAGGCGAATGTACTAGCGGATGCCTTGAGTCGGAAGGCAGTGAGTATGGGTAGTCTAGCCTTTCTTTCTACTACGGAGCGACCATTAGCTTTGGACATCCAGTCCTTAGCTAACTGGATGATACGGCTTGATATCTCTGATTCCCGGTGTGTACTAGCTTATGTGGATGCTCAGTCATCTCTGCTGGATCGCATTCGTAGCCGTCAGTTTGAGGATGAGGACGTAGTAGCACTTCGAGATCGAGTTTTGAGAGGTGACACCGGCCTGGCTACCTTAGATTTAGATGGGGTTTTACGATTTGGTGATCGACTTTGTGTTCCAAGAGTTGGGGGTTTGATTCAGATGATTCTTACCGAGGCCCATGAGTACAAATATTCTATTCATCCAAGCACAACTAAGATGTATCGGGACTTGAGACAGCACTACTGGTGGAGCGTCATGAGGAGAGATATTGCGGATTATGTATCGCGTTGCTTGAGTTGTCAGCAGGTTAAGGCCGAGCATTTGAGGCTTGGTGGCGAGCTTCAGTGATTACCCATTCCTGCGTGGAAATGGGAGAGGATCACCATGGACTTCGTTGTAGGATTATCCCGCACTTGCCGTGGTCTTTATAGTATTTGGGTCATCGTGGATCGATTGACCAAGTCAGCACACTTCATTCCTGTCCATACTTCCTACAGTGCTGAGAGGTTAGCCCGTATCTACATTCGAGAGGTGGTTCGTCTTCATGGGGTGCCTTTTTCTATCATCTCAGACCGGTGCCCACAGTTCACATCTAGCTTCTGGAGGACCTTCCCGGATGAGTTGGGTATCCGTATTGACCTTAGTACAGCTTTCCACCCGTAGACTGCTGGTCAGTCAGAGTGCACGATTCAGGTTCTTGAGGACATGTTGCGGGCTTGTGTTATGGATTTTGGGGGTCAGTCAGACCAGTATTTGCCTATGGCAGAGTTTGCGTACAACAACAGCTACCACTCGAATATTTAGATGGCCCCATTCGAGGCCTTATATGGTAGGCGTTGTCGCTCTTCAGTTGGTTGGTTTGAGTTATTAACAGAGCCCCAGGCCGCACGATACAGACTTGATGCGAGAGGCTTTAGATCATGTGAGGGTGATTCAAGATAGGCTCGGTACAGCCCAGAGTAGACATCAGAGTTATGCGGACCGTAGGCGTTGACTGTTGAAATTTGTTGTTGGTGATAGAGTATTCCTCCGTGTGTCGCCCATGAAGGGTGTAATGAGATTTGGGACGCGGGGAAAACTTAGCTCCAGGTATGTAGGTCCTTTTGAGATATTGAGGACAGTTGGAGAGGTCAGATATGAGTTGGCTTTAACCCCGACCTTTTCAGCTATTCACCCAGTTTTTCATGTTTCGATGTTACGCCTGTATGTTCCAGATGAGTCCCATGTGATTCAGTATGATGCAGTTGACTTGGATGACAGTTTTAGATACATTGAGGAGCCAGTTGCTATTTTGGCCATAGATGTCAGACGGTTGCGTTCCAGAGCCATTACTTTGATTGAGGTCCATTGGAGACATCGTCCAGTTGAGGAGGCTACCTGGGAGACCGAGCATGAGATACGGGCGCAGTTCCACGGCTTATTTGAGCCTTCAGGTACTTCTTGACTCTTACTTTCGCGGACGAAAGTTCTTTTAGTAGTGGTTACTGTAATTAAAGCATTCATTCCATTGTTTAGAGCGTTCATGTACGACCCCAGGTCATTTATGACTTGCTGGCACTGACTGTTCGGTCGCCTGGTCGTTCGTTTGGGTTTTAGGCCCGTTTCCCTGTTTTGGAGATTTTATAACTTGAAAAGTTGAATTTGGTCAATCTTCTTGGAAGACGTTCTTAGATGAAAATTCTGACAGCTAGGTTAGCTTCGGAATATCAATTTTTGTCTAGAACGACCCTTTGTTCACTTCCCGAGATTTTAGATAGCAGTTGTGGAATCTGGTTCAAAATGATACTGGGTGTGGGACCCACTTTTCATCGAAGCAATCTCCAATGGAAATTCGGACTTCACCCTTGAGTAAGAAATATCATTTCCAATCAGATTCCATATATGGTTTGT